AATTAACAATTAAATCTAAAACTTCCCTTTTCAGCAACAAAAATTCCACATAAATATAGTTTTTAATTTACTGTTGTTTTGAGAAATTGAGAATTTTACATCCAATTCGTCTAAAAAGGACAGTGGCACAGCTCAACTCATCCATCTTTTACCATAGTCTGGTTAAATAATTATAAAATTCCCTTCACACTGTAGATTCCTAACAATTTGATACTTATTAACGCATAATTTTCAACAATTCCACATTAATTATTTTTAGTTTACATATTTAAAATAATAATTTACTGTTACTTGTAATTTTTAGAAATTGAGAAATGTGTACCAAATTCCGAGCAAATTTACAACCAACGTCGCAAAACACACACTTGTATAATCTTTTATATTATCTTTTAAAATAATACAAAATTTCCTTTACGCCGTCTAATTTGGTAAATCTCAAATTCCCAACTATTCAAAAACAACAATTCTATCATATTATTAACATATTTTTTAATTGACATATTTAAAAATAATAAGTGTAAGTACGATTATTTTTCAATTTTGGAAACAGATAATTTTACATCAAAAACTCCAATCAAATTTCTAACCAACGTCTAAAATGACTTGTGGACCGAATATATCTAACCTTTGAAATTAAGTCTCAAAATAAACAATTACAAAATTTCCCTTTCGCCGTCGATTCTTGCAAATCTCAAATTTCCTAAATTTTCAGAAACAACCATTGCCATCATTTTTTTTACTCCCACGTTCCGAAACTATATATGCCCCATAAAAATTGCAGTCCAGTCACATATTTTTTTTTGCTATCATGCATCCCATCTCTCTCCTCGTCCTCTTCCTACACTATTAAATATTATCCGTAATATACGTATCTCTTCTCCCATCAAAATCCAAATTCTACTCTACTTCCTTCCGGAAACTACATAAATAAATTGTTACACTAAAACCATACTATGTAACGTAACTGAAATGATAATTATGTTAATTTATGTATCCAGACCAGACCCACCTCATCCTCCTCCCCTCCATTTAACCAAGAGCTCACTCACTTCACTTCACTTCCCCGTCATCATAATCCCACCAATTTATGTCAAAATTAACCACAAACGCGTACATACACTTTTCTCAAGTTCAGGTTCACCCAAAGCGCATATTTAGTCCGACCAGATGGATAAATACGTTCCATGTTTCCTCCTTATTTGTTTCTAATCTCTGAAATTAATCGGGCAATTAAAAAAACCGGAGGAGAAAAAAGTGGAGCAGCAAAACAAGTAAAAATACTTCCCATTATGCCACACCGCTGACAGATCGTTGTCCAGATATGATATGATGTCTGCAATTATTACATGCACACAGGCCAGGCTGCATATTCTGGATGGATGGATGGAGGAAGTGGGCCTTCTCCATAAATATAAATTGGTCCGTTGTGCGGTGGCCATAAGTCCACGTCCACAATTTCGGTTAACCAACCGACAACTACTTATCATTTTGTCACCAATTAAAAATGAAATAAGGGAAAAGTTCCAAATTGAAAGTTGTAAAGTGTCAAAGTGGAAAAATAGTGCTCTTTTCGAAAATAGTAAGCATGCCTCTCTCCAATTAATAGGTTGGCTTGTATTTTGTCCTCCAGGTAAGTAAGTAGGCAGGCATGCATATGAGATAATACGTAACGTAACGTACAACTGGATTGGACTGGAATGAGTATAGAGCTACTGTTTTTAGTGAGAGCGAGATGGGCCAGTATGATAAGATGGCTTACTTTTGATAACACGTATATCCGACATGATGATGGGAGTTAGAGTCAAACCTGGTTTCCGGTGTGTACATTCGTAAAAAAGTGGTCCTTTCTCTCTCTCTCTGTCCAAATAAATAAGGAGCCTGCAAGCATTCCTATTATCGTATCATAAATAGTAAAAAAAAGAGTCGAGTATGTATGTAAAGCTTTATTATCGCTGATGAGATCACCCACCACAAATAATAAAACAATGCCAAAAAGCGAACCCAGACCAGACCAGGCCACAAATGTGGAGAATGTATATGTATACAGGTAATTATAAAAATTGGGGCGACAATGAGATTATTTATTTAGTAACAATGGGATCGTTTGCAGAAAGCAGGCCAGGTTTGGGTGCATTATTATGTTGTAAAATAAACCTGCCAATTCTGTGAGATTACAATTTGCAGGATCAATGTCTCATTGCAAATGGAAATTTAGACAGATGCAAACTTTGCGGATCAATGACAAGTCTTTATTTACAATATGTGCATGAATTTCAGGCGTTAAACGTGTCTTCAACTTCGACTTGTAATCTTTTTTTGCGAATTTAGACAGATGCAAATTTTACAGATCAATAACAAGTTTTTAGAATATACATATGAATTTCAGACGTTAAACATGTCTTCGCCTTCAACCTGAAATCTTTTCCCCCGTAAAGATTGAGACATCGTCTCTTTTCTAACAAAATAATTAAAACACGCACTTCCAACCCATCCCATCACATCAATTCTCTCCAAAACTGAGACAAACATCCGTTTCTACCCACACCTACCAAAACGCAAGAAGACGGAGGAACGAGCCCGTAAAATAAATAAATAAATAAATAAACCGTCATAAAAAAATGTCTAATGAATGAAGAACTCAAGATGCAACTTTTTCTTTAAAAAAACATAATTTTAATTACTTTTACGACAACAATGAACCCAAACCTCATTCATCGCGGGTTGCGTGCAGTACATTTTATTCGCCATAAAAAAACTGTACAGAGTGTCAATTGTGTGTGACGTGTGGTGGTTGAGGTGAGGACACAACTCGACGACATTGTCGTGGTGTCATTGTCACTGTCTTTCCCAGCGTGTCAACAGTTCTCAGTTTTCACATTATGACAGATTCATCTCATTCGGTGTGACACACGAATTTTCATGACTTCTTCCGTCTCACTTACGTAAATGCAATGCATGCAAACCGAGAAGTGGAAATGACTTTGTTTTAATTTTGGAGCTTGGTGTTGGTGTTGTTTCCGTCTTAAATATTTTTTTAATTAAGAGTGTGTATGTAACTCGTAATTAAAAAGGTCATCCAACGGGACGATAAACTCGGATGAGTGGCATGACATTGTGACAATTAACGACCAAGACCACCACATTGCGAAATAAATAAATATTTGCATACATTTTATTTATTCGCATTTCTCACAAGGTAAAAATACCTAAATGATAAACTGCCAACTAATTTGTAAATGATAAATAAATAAATAAAAGTAGCAGAAATTCTGCAAGGTTAGATTTTCTCAGGTAAATAATTTTTACACACAGATATTTGCCTAAACCAGGATAAATACAAATTCACAAGCAGGATACGGAGAGTGATGGATGTTGACGTAGATTGAGGCGAGATGCGAAAAATATACGCGATCAGTTTGCTGCTTCTCTTCACTCTCCACTAATGCAAATTGTTTGTAGTAGGTAAATTATTATTCTAATGCCAGAAGATAAGGCCAACTTGTACAATGTGTAAGGAAATGAGCACCCAGTTCGGCATGGATGAGCGAATATCAGAAACTACATATGCACACTTTTGCAAATAAGTAATTGTACATAAACCAAGCAGCCAGCGCCCAAGAAAATAAATGGCTTTGACTTTAATACCACTTAATTATGACTAATTGCTTCCAACACAGGAGAGGATTTTAGTCCAAGTGGATACCACCCAGCAGAAAAAAACTGGATGATGCGGAAAGGATAAGTCAGTGGTAGTGGTCGGTTCGTTAGTTATAAATATCTTATCGTACCGCTTATCAATAATCCTCTCTCTCCTGCCAAGACGTATGTTCGCAAACCACAACAAAGAAGAACAAAAAGAGTACATAGCACAAGCAAATTGTAGAAATATGTAGAAACAATGGCTGATAAGACAGAGAGTAATGATTCTCCGCGATCAAAAGTGCAGATTTCCTTGCCTTTTTTTCTGCAGGAAACCAGAAATATTTGGGTGGTGGTTGGTGGGGGTGAGTAATGTGCGAAATCCGGACCATTTCAAAAAATGTGGTGCCTCATTTGTCAAAGTTTTTCAAGTTAATTAGCTAAACTGGATTTAATTTATGAGGATAAAAGTGTATGCGCCATTTAGTTCGAGGTTTTACCCTTGATAACATCTTATCTCGCTTGTAAAGCTACTATTTATGAATCCGCTTTCTTTCTTTTATTTTCCGTGTATTTGTTCGGGGCGGTGGTTTTGGGACGTGAGCTTTTACCATTTTTTCCTGGGTTCTTTCCCGAAGAAAAACTGACACTAATTATCTCACAATTTACAACTTACATTAAAAATTGGCTTAATTAATACTAATTCTTGCGAGATGGACATGTCTGATTGTTTGTTTACTTAGTTGTTTTTCATGTATTTGTTTTAATTGGAGCAATTGAGTAGTGATTTTGACCGTCGTAAATTATTCAGTTGCGTAAAACATGATTAAATTGGTGTTGAGGTTTTGTTGGGGAAGATAAAGATTTGGATGGCCATTTCCTGTAAAGATTTTAGCCGTGTTTCATAATTTATGTATGTATTTGCATATGTATGTATTCATACGTTGAGGTCTGTCCAAGCCAAGGCATGCTAAATTTGTGCAAAACTTCATGCCAAAATGCATGCAAACATGTAAGTTCGATCCCATGTTTGCAAGAAACTCTAAATTCATGCAAAATTTGATGCAAAAATGTAAGTAAATGTTGATTTCATGTTTATCGTTAAATGTTTCTACCTGTGTAAATGAGATGCAGCCAAGAATTTTCGATCCATAGTCAAATCAATAATGCGCAAACTGTCATGCACACAAATCTGCTGCATACATGCAAATCTGCTGCCCTTTTGTGCATCAATCTATCGTTCTGTCTGCTGCCGACTTGTGCAACGCGATCATCCAACTAAATATTTGTCAAACTTTGAACATCCAAATGAGGACATTGTCCGCAAACGGAGGCTATAAATATGAGTGACAACTCGACCAAACTCCATTTCGTTCTGGAGATCTGAGTAAATAGTTTGCCGCGCCGTTCCGCACGTCCCAGATTTGTATTAATTTTTGATGAATTATTGATTTAATACAAGGACGAAGCACATCTATCAACTAAACGTGGACAAGTCGGCCTGCTTAATTTACAAAGTTCAAGGTACGCAATAATAATAATCAGAGTAGAAATTGCCCTCCCCCCTCAGAAATTTCGAACAATTTAATTTACCCTAAATTAATTTTTCCCTCCAGCTTATTCTACACATCATGAATTCTGATCGCCCCACCCCCGGAATTGGTCGAGGTCGTGCCCGTGCTCGGGTTCACCGTTCCATTTCGCCCCGTCCTCGCGCAGAAGATATCCCCCGAGCGCATGATGACCAGCCTTCACTTGCTCACCTGCAGCGACCCGTGGTCGCACCGGGAGCACCCTCATTTCCCGAGACGACCGCCCGTGTCGCGCAGCTCAGCATTTCGGATGAAACCGCGGCCGCGTCGGTGTCCAGTAGCGCTGCTTCGGATACGGAGAAACGGGGATCGATGCGAGGTTTCCGCCAATCGGATTCCCTTTTTCAAGATTATCGAATCAGGACGAGGCCGATCACGCTGGAATCGAAACAGGGAACGAAAGGTAAATTTTCGAAATTTGTTTTTTTTTCGAGTAAAAGTAACCACTTGGAAGAAATAACTGCAAGAATGTAGTTTGTTGGTGCTATTTTGACCTGCAAGAAATGCAAGGTGCAAGAAATCGCTTCCCGCCGCTAAAGTTCACACATCGCGTGGCTAGATGGCGCATATTTCTTGCACTGTTTTACCTTGTACTGCAAGAAATGTAGCAAACCCGCAAGAAACTAAACACTTCTGGCGAAAATGTATGAAAAAAACTGAACAATTTTAAAATATTTTGTAGGTGAACATCTTCGAATGATTACGAACTATTTCCGCCTGAAACGCGCCCCTCTCTGGACCCTGCACGAGTATCATGTCGAATTCCAACCACAATGTGACTCCAAGGCGATGATGAAGGCAATGCTGCGAAAAAATAAGGACAAATTGGGCGCCTACATTTTCGACGGGATGAAAATGTACAATTCACGACCACTCGAACCATCCCCGTTCATCTTCCAACAAGAAATGACTGAAGGGACCTTTACGGTTAAGATCAAGTATCATGGACCCGTTGAACCTGGCGACCCGACTTACATGCATTTTTACAACTTGTAAGTTTTTACACTTTCAAACTCCCAAAAAACGAGAGAACTGTTCATGATATTTGAATTTTTTTCCTACAGGATTTTGAGAACTTGCTTGTTTGGCATGGGGTTGGAAGAAATGGGACGAAACTTCTACGACCACACGGCCGCGATTTGCTTAAACGCACACAGATTGACTTTATGGCCGGGTAAGTTTGTTATCTCAATATTTTCGACACATTTTCGACATAGTTTAGCTGCGAACTTATCTCTATTTTTCCTTATTTATTCAGGATTCATCACATCCCTCCGCCAACACGAGAACGACGTCCTCCTCTGCGTCGAAACGACCCACAAGGTCCTCCGCCTCGACAACGTGCTCGCCACGATCCGCACCATCCAACAAGGCGCCCGCGGTGGGAATGCCGAAGAAGCCATAAAAGCCCAGCTCTTGGACACCATCGTGATGACCGCGTACAACCGAAAAACCTACCGAATTGCGGACATCGACTTCAAAACGACGCCATCCTGCACCTTCGAAACGAAAGCGCGGGATGGAACCATGTCGCAAATCAGCTACGTCGAGTACTACCAGAACCGCTACAATCAGACCATCACGGACCTGAAGCAGCCAATGTTGGTGGCCAAACCGGGGAAGAAAGACTTGCACCGCGGCGAAGACCAGTTGATCAATCTCATCCCGGAACTTTGCCAACTGACCGGACTGACGGACCAGATGCGCGAAAACTTCACGTTGATGAAGGAACTCAGCAAATATTTGCATGTCGGACCGCAAGAGCGTGTCAAGGAGATCACCCACTTCATGGACCGTCTCTCCTCCAAGATTTCCGACAGTCAGGTCCCCTTGGGAGAGTCGTTGAAAAATTGGGGGCTCGAGTTTGAGAGGAAGTTGTCCCCCGTGAAGGGTCGCACCTTGGGCTCGGAGAAGATCGTGTTTGCCTCGGGGGAAGAGTTGGCGGATAACAAGGGCGATTGGACAAAAGCGTTCAGAAATCAGAAGATGCTGACGACAGTGAATTTGGAGAGGTGGGTCGTCATCGTGCCTCAAAGGGATGCCCCTGGCGTGGACAATTTGACCAGGACGATGTCCAAGGTGTCGGCTCCGTTAAATATGAGGATTGGGAATCCGTTGGAAGTGTGAGTAATTTTGAAAATATTTGTCTAATTTTTCCCAAAATTTCTTTTAATTTAGGAAATATTTGTCTCACTTTTCCCACTCTTAAAAATTCCTGTTGTCTGATTACAGCTCTCTTAATTTAGAAAATATTCGTCTCAATTTTCCCACTCTTAAAAATCCCTGTTGTCTGATTACAGCTCTCTTAATTTAGAAAATATTCGTCTCACTTTTCCCACTCTTAAAAATTCCTGTTGTCTGATTACAGCTCTCTTAATTTAGAAAATATTCGTCTCAATTTTCCCACTCTTAAAAATCCTGTTATTTAATTATTTACAGCTACAAACTGGCCGACATTAAGGGGACGAGCTACGTGAAGGCGATCAACGACTTGGTCGCGAAGCACCAAGATCTTCAAATGCTCTTCGTCATCCTGCCGAACAACAAACCGGAACCTTACGGAGCGGTCAAGAAGCGCTTGGCGGTCGATCAGGGGAGTAAGTTGCAAAAATTATTTTTTCGCAAAAAAAATTGATACAGAATTTATTTTATGCTAAAAAAATTACCTTCGTTTTTTCCAGTTCCATCTCAATGCTTCGTGTCAAGGAACGTGACGTCGAAAGGACTCATGTCCATCGCGACGAAGGTGGTCGTCCAGATGAACGCTAAGCTGGGTGGGGAACCCTGGTCGATCAAAATCCCCCTCAAGAAACTCATGGTGGTTGGATTCGATGTGTACCACGGAGCCAAAGGGAGCAAGGGCGGCAGTGTGGGAGCCATGGTGGCCACGATAACCCCCACTTTGGCCAAGTACTTCAGCACCACGTCCGTTTTCAACGGTCCCGACGAGTTCTCAAAAGTTCTGCTGTCTGATTTTACAAGTAAATCCAAAAAAATTGAAACAGTTTGAAATTTGTTTCTAATTTTGTGAAAACTTTGCCTCTTTTTCAGAATGTCTGCATACATTTGCTGAAGAAAGAGACCAAGGGCTCCCCGAGAGGATCGTCTTCTATCGCGATGGCGTCGGAGATGGTCAGCTTGGACAAGTTTTGACGCAGGAGTTGGTGCAGCTTCAGGTAAAATGATTTCCAGTTTTGACAAAAAATATTTTTTTTACAATATTTTAAAATTGGGGGTTATTTTGCGCAGGAGGCTTTGAACCAGGTTTACGTCCATGCTGGCCTCCCCCTCCCCAAGTTTACCTTGATCGTGGTCACGAAGAAGATCAACTCTAGAGTTATGCTGGACCGTGGCGGAAAGTATGACAATCCGGCCCCTGGAACGGTGGTGGATGATGTTATTACACTTCCGGAACGGTGAGTCCAATAAATTTTTGTCGTGTGGAATTATTGACCTTATTTGCATCTTACTTTCTCCATTTTCGGTGATACACGTTGAATAAACTGTGTCTCTCGCTAATGCGTCAAATTTTGTATGTAAATGAGGTGACTGGCAATAGAAATTCCACTATATTTACTCCCAACTTTCTTATTTGGCTTGAAATCTCACCTTGCCTCATCGGGTCGCCTCATTTACATAAGTCTCACTATTCCCACATGGACTTTCCATGAATAAACTCTGTCTCTGGCTAATGCATCAAAATAAATATGCAAATCAGGCGACACGCAATAATTCCACTGTACTTCGACTTTATTATTTTACTCGAAATCTCATCTTGCCTCATTACTAATCCTAAATTCTCATCTTTCCAGCTACGACTTCTTCCTCATCTCCTGCGCCGCCCGGCAAGGGACCGTGAGCCCGTGCTGTTACAACGTGATGTACGACTCGCAAGGCCTCGACCCTGACAAGATGCAGATGCTGACGTACAAAATGTGTCACATGTATTTCAACTGGTCCGGAACCGTGGCCGTCCCCGCGCCCTGCCAGTACGCTCATAAACTCGCCTTCATCACGGGAATGTCCTACGGAGGCGCGGCGAACAAGCGGCTCTCAAAATATTTACATTTTCTCTAGAACGAAAAATTTATAATTTATTTACCAAATATATATATTTATTTTCGAGTATATTCTAGTCTATTTGCCAAAAAGAAGAAGAGATCTATTTATCACAGAGCTTTTATATATTTGTCAGAACTTTATTGTTATTTATCAATAATTTAGGAAGAATTTAGCTGAGATCTATTTATCATACAGAGAATTTTATATATTTTAACGAAATCAGAATTTTATACATATTTATCAAGCGAAGAACTTAACTTTATTTAACTTATACTTAAATAATTTATGTAGCTTTTACTTTAACGAGATCAGATCTGCGTGTGTATGCATTTGTCGAGCGATGTCCAATCAACTATTTATTCGCGACATGCATACACATTTTTATTAATCAACTATTTTATCGCAGAAACTCTGATGTAGTTTTATTTTTAAGATTTTTCTCCAGTTTTACCTTGTTAGTCGTTATCATGAATCGTCACTTTGTTATTGTTGAAATATTATTTATCGGAGAAATTAAAGAAACTTTTTATATTCCACTAAAAAAAATTAAGAGGAAAATTGTCGCATTTTGTTGGCATAAAAAACGGTTTGGATGGCATAATATTGCACGTTTGTTGTTGTATAATTGTATTATTTTATTTAAGGTTTGCATAGCGTGACTACGTACTCGTTGGTTTGTGGAGGTGAGTGAGTGGCATGTTTGGACTTTGTTAATACATGATTTCGCGATAATAATGGATGCTCTCTCTCTCTCTCTCTCTAATCATAAACAGAGTAATTACTTATCATTAAGATAACGCCGCAATCGTAATTAAATCGAGTCATGCGATGCATTAAACTCCACCAATTTCTTTCTTCTGTTGGGTGATGGGTGTTAATTTAACTAACTGTCTGCATTATCGGGGAAGGGATCTTTTATTTCGAGAAAAATCACACATTTTTTGTGTCACTTTGCTTTCACTCAGGTCGACGTCCACGTCCACGTTCACCTTTTGGAATGATGAGGACGGTGGTTTGGTGGGTTAAATTATTTATATGTCGTCCTTCTCTTCTGGCAACTAGGTTGTTAATTAATCTCCGCTAATAAACTGGGAGGGAAGGCGGCACTTATTAGGAGGATGGGCAGTGTTTCGTTTCTTGCACTGTAAAGGCAAAATTGCAAGAAATGGGAGGTGCTAGAAACGGGGAGAAAGTGCACATAAATATGCCACGCGCCCCATGTAGGACGGTCAGCGGGGTGTATTTTCTTACGCTTTGCATTTCTTGCAGGTCAAAATTTGCCCATGAAACACTGATGAAAATGTTTGTGTTTCGCTTCTTGCGCGTTTGCTGCATTTCTTGCACTGCAGATCAAGAAACTGCAAGAAACTGCAAGAAATTGCATGAAACGTGCGTCATGCGAAGTACAGCGGCGGGGCGTAGTTTTTTGCGCCTTGCATTTCTTGCAGGTCAAAATACCTGCAAAAAACCGCTTTCTTCCCGTCATTTCTTCCAAGTGGTTTCTTGCACCCGAAACACTGACTACATATGAATACGTGCATTTGCAGGAAGCACATACACAATTTCTGAAAATAACTCAATTTGTGTGCACCACAAATGGTGAGCCGCCACACATAATCTTTCCCATCGATCTTGACGGGAAAGTTTTTGGCCTATTTTCATACTTAATTTACTTTGGTAATTGCATAATTTTGGGGTTATTTTCTCCCTGGAAGATTTTGGGGGTTGGTTTTGTATTTTATTATTTTAGAGGATTTGTTCCCTATGCAATTTGTGTGTAAAATGTGTAGCTGGGATTTTGCGTAAGTAAGAGAAGAAAAAGGAGTGCACACAATAAGAGAAACTAAATGTTGTGTGTGATGCGAGACAATCCACCACTCGTCCAAATCTTAATCTAAATCTTAATTGCTTCTTGTTTTGATTTGACTCCGTTCTGTTGCTTTGACTTGTGACTTCCTTAACCTTACGCAATATTAAGTAGGAGAGGCAGAATTCCCTTGTTCTATGCAACCTGTTACGATTTTTAGGAAATGTCAAATATTCCCTAAACTAAGATATCAATTGAAATACCTTATCTGAAATGTAAACTTCCACAAAATAGTGCAATCCAAAAAAAAATCTGACTGTGCAAGCTGTCACAATTTTTGGGAAATGTCAAATAATCCAAAAAATATGAAATCATTGAAGTATCTAAGATGTACCAAATATTGTGAAATTCCAAAAAAAATCATTAATGTCGTATGTACCAACCAAGCAAGAAATAAGTCGGGTTAAAATCCGTACTGCCCAGCCCAACTAAATCCAGGGGATGAGAGAGAGAGACAAGATATTATCTAAAATTTAGGAGATTGTTCTACCCATCCAATTACTGTTGGTCTAATTAACGATCGTCCACTTTAATTCGTTCGTCTGTCTCTGACTGAATCTCAGCCAGGAATTAAATGAAATTCGTCCTTTGTTTGTGTTCTCGTCGAACAGTTTGTGTTTTATCGTCTCAAAAATTCCTGTTAATTCGCTCCCATGCCCTTTTCCTCCAGCAACATTTGTGTATATCCAACCCAGAAATAAAATGAGAAAAAAGCGTGTTTTCTTCAAGTATGCAAGTATCCTTTTGGTTGTTGGGAGTGTCACTGGAAAGTTGTCTCTGAAATAAAATAAATTGGGGATCCCACCAACCATCCAACCAGCCAACAATTCATTGAGTTTTGGTTGAGTGGAGTGCAGTCCTTTTCTTGTTGGGTAGCCCTTAAAACAATTAAATTAAATTAATGTCAAGGGGCTCGAAGGTGGGTTGACATCTGTGGTGGTGGTGGACAGTGGCCGCGGAAGCGTGGGGACAGAGGGACAACGTCCCCACGTTTATTCGATGTCCCATCATCTGCCCATGCTATATAAATGCCCCTCCCTCCCCTATCCTGCAATGTTAATGTCCCCACATGTCCCCACGGCTTCCGCGGCCACTGATGGTGGACTTGAGGAAGTGACACAAAATAACTTATGGCTGTTACTTGTTGTTGTGGTTCTTCTTCTTCTGGTCACAAATTTATTTCGAGTTGACATTTAAAGAATGAGAGGGAAAGAGCAGAAATGGTCCACGGGTTGGTTTGCTGGATTGGATCATGATTGATTGTGGCGACTGAAAGAAAAGAATTAAGGTGACCTTTCCTACATCGTCTGAAGTAAAAAAAAATGTAGTGAGGAGGATGAGACTTTATGTATCCTGAAGGGAATTTTAAGGTATAAGGAATGGGACAAACTTATCTGGAAACAAGTCGATAAGATAAAGAGAGATCGTTGTGGCAAGATTTTTATGCAATTTTCCGTGTAAAGCTAACCTTCCAATTTGTAAACGAATTTACTCATGTTACGTGATCGCTTAGAAGTAAATTACGGTTTTAATTTGAGTATCGTTGCGTAATTTGGTGAATGAAATGTGTAATTTTTGGTTATTTTTGGTAATTTTTGGTCGTGCTTATATACATCCTTTTCCCGTAATATGTAAATGAGAATTTCCACTACAGCAAAGACAAAATGTGACTATTTTGTACGTATTATTACTTGTTAATGCCTCCCAGGGTGAGCTAAAAGTATGAGAAGAAATCGTCTCAAGACTGGTTTTTGGGATGGAAAATTCATATTTTTCGTCTCACCTCACACACACAGGCGACAATTTTTTCTCACTTTTTCCCATCCAGTTATACGTATAACGAGAGTGGTTGGTTGGTTGTGGTGTTCGTTGGACCAGGTAAAAGTTGAGACGGTAAATATAAATGAAATATGTAGTAAAAACGGTAAAAAGTGAATCCTTTTTATTTTTTGGCTGGTCGGGTGGTCGTGCTCTTCATTTATTTCAGATTGGGCAGGTTGTAAAATAATTTATTTCTTTGGGATGGATGGATGACTGACTTTACTTATTTCACTTTTTTCTGAGTTTTTAGCTCTTGGTTAACCTAACAATTAACTTTTTATAAATCCCTATATTTTAATTGGTAATTATTTTCTTAAAAAATATTGAAATTTAAATTTCATGAAAATTTCGAAAAGCTAATTTTTCTCCCTTTAATTTTTTTTCTATTTATTGGGTCAATTCATTTTCCACCATGAACTTTATTTTATCTGCGTAGAAAACTAGATGTTTATCATGTTTTACAACTTTAGAGCTCTAGTTTTAACAGATTTTATTTTTATTGGGGCAAATATAATGGATGGGTTACGTACGTTAAGTTAATCCGGAGACTAAACCATTTCATTGTCAAATTACCACTCTAAAAGTTTTCTAAAAGAAAAGAAGAAACCACGACTAGGTTACATTATTGCTGCTATATTATTGTTTAGGATGCATCATGTCCCGGTTGATGGAAAACAAAACAGCACCTTGTTTGTATTTTTTGACTGCACTTTAAAAAATAATGGGATGCAGATCTAACAAAAACAAGATTCATATCAGATTAGACGATTTTACTGAAAACCGATTCGCAAACAGTACGCAACTTTTCTGCATTTATTTTTTGACTGCACTTTAAAAAATACATAATGTGATGCAGGTCTACAACAAGATTCATATCAGATTAGACAATTTTACTAATTCGTAGATAAACTTAAATTTTGTGCAGAAACTAATTCGCAAATAAATACTACGCAATTTTTCTGCAGTGTCCATGCCCCGAGTCCGTCGTAAATCAAGGTGGTTTCAAGCATCACTTTTAGCATGCTGACTTGTAAACCAAATTCATACATCTACACATCCACTCACACGATTCTGGAATACAAATTAATTAAAGGTGAATGGATTTGGACGTATCCATCTTCACAATTTGTCTGCCGTAATACTTACGCGATATCTGTCTGGTATTTAGCTAAACGGATCATTAGATAGCGTCCGGTGCGCCATGAAGGACATTAACATTTCCAACGTGAACATATAATTTGCTCAGGTTGGTTTTACCAAAATCGTGGTCGTGGCTGGTTTTCTTTTCTAGTGCAGGCAGGACAAAGTAGGCTCTTGAGCAGTCTTTCCTTGGTCAGGGGAAGAAGTTTAACTCGTTTAATTGGGATTGATCCCATGAGCGAGGGTGTAATTACGAGTAATAATAATGCAAATATTGCAATATTATATTTCCCATTCAAAAATTCTACGACGGATTTACCTCCAGCCCGAAGCGAGTAAGATTTCTCATCTAGTTCTTATGACTTTATATAATTTTTAACTCTCAAATTTTCCAGAATGACTCCAAAATTTGGCGAGTTTTTGAAAAATTCAAATCTTTGTAAGAATAATAACTTTAGTCCAAAACAAATACGAGAAATTACGTATGTATGAAAGACAACAACTTTTTTTTAACAAGTTTCAAGTACCTACATGCACAATCCAGTCGTAATTATGCACTTAATAATTGACTGATTTTCGTAATCACTACTCTTACCAGGGAACGATTTAACATAACCATCCATCCATTGTAAATAAACAGAACATTTATTTTTTCCACGGTATAAAGCAAGAAAGACAGCAAATTGTCTGCTAGCTAGCTTTTCTCGACTGCCTTTTT